AGCATCCACATGAATCACCAGGCAGCATCCACATTAATCACCAGGTAGCATCCACATGAATCACCATGTAGCATCCCATGGAACACCAGGCAGCATCCACATGGATCACCAGGCAGCATCAGAGTACGAGTGTTTACCACTGGAAAACAAACTGGTGTGAAACAAGCCACTTAGAGATGGAGATGTTTACCTCAAGATCTCTCGCACTCTTCTGCATAGCTCCTGACGACGCACTATAGTGCGAAAGATCTTGAGCTAAAGATTCCTATCCCCATGTGGCTTCTTCTCCATTGTTACGATCGTTTCTTTCTGAGTGTACTGCAAACTAGTGTAAATGAACCTTGCGATTGCTCCTTGATGATGGTTAGTGGCAACTGAGTGACCCTGATGGTGGTGGATGGCAACTGATTGACCTTGATTGTGGTGGATGGCAACTGAGTGACTTTGATTGTGGTGGATGGCAACTGAGTGATCTTGGTGGTGGTGGACGGCAGCTGGGTGACCTTGGTGGTGGTGGATGGCAGCTGGGTGACCTTGGTGGTGGTGGATGGCAGCTAGATGACCTTGATGGTGGTGAGATGGCAACCGAGTGACTTTGATGGTAGTGAGAGGGCAAATGAGTGGCCTTGATAGTGGTGAGATGACTAGGCTTCGTGAGAGGAGCGTCTCTGCTCTCATACTTCCATTCACTGCTAATGGTAATTGATTTGTGGTCGCCTGAGCCAAATTCTTTTGTAATTTCTAGATTATTAACAACAATAAAATTGTCTATCAAAAACAAAACAAGCAGGGTATTTCCCCTACTAGGTTCTGTAACGAACTGATTAAGAAAAAAAACAGTCCTGACGTAGTCATGTATCTCTCAGTTGTGAGGTGCTTCATGTATCTCACAGTTGTGAGGTGCTTCATGTATCTCTCTGTGTGGTGCTTCATGTATCTCACAGTTGTGAGGTGCTTCATGTATCTCACAGTTGTGAGGTGCTCCATGTATCTCACAGTTGTGAGGTGCTTCATGTATCTCACAGTTGTGAGGTGCTTCATGTATCTCTCAGTTGTGAGGTGCTTCATGTATCTCACAGTTGTGAGGTGCTTCATGTATCTCACAGTTGTGAGGTGCTTCATGTATCTCTCAGTTGTGAGGTGCTTCATGTATCTCACAGTTGTGAGGTGCTTCACGTATCTCACAGTTGTGAGGTGCTTCATGTATCTCACAGTTGTGAGGTGCTTCATGTATCTCACAGTTGTGAGGTGCTTCATGTATCTCACAGTTGTGAGGTGCTTCATGTATCTCTCAGTTGTGAGGTGCTACATGTATCTCACAGTTGTGAGGTGCTACATGTATCTCTCAGTTGTGAGGTGCTTCATGTATCTCACAGTTGTGAGGTGCTTCATGTATCTCTCAGTTGTGAGGTGCTTCATGTATCTCACAGTTGTGAGGTGCTACATGTATCTCACAGTTGTGAGGTGCTTCATGTATCTCACAGTTGTGAGGTGCTTCATGTATCTCACAGTTGTGAGGTGCTACATGTATCTCACAGTTGTGAGGTGCTACATGTATCTCACAGTTGTGAGGTGCTTCATGTATCTCTCAGTTGTGAGGTGCTTCATGTATCTCACAGTTGTGAGGTGCTACATGTATCTCACAGTTGTGAGGTGCTTCATGTATCTCACAGTTGTGAGGTGCTTCATGTATCTCACAGTTGTGAGGTGCTACATGTATCTCACAGTTGTGAGGTGCTACATGTATCTCACAGTTGTGAGGTGCTTCATGTATCACACAGTTGTGAGGTGCTTCATGTATCTCTCAGTTGTGAGGTGCTTCATGTATCTCTCAGTTGTGAGGTGCTTCATGTATCTCACAGTTGTGAGGTGCTTCATGTATCTCTCAGTTGTGAGGTGCTTCATGTATCTCTCAGTTGTGAGGTGCTTCATGTATCTCACAGTTGTGAGGTGCTTCATGTATCTCTCAGTTGTGAGGTGCTTCATGTATCTCACAGTTGTGAGGTGCTTCATGTATCTCACAGTTGTGAGGTGCTTCATGTATCTCACAGTTGTGAGGTGCTTCATGTATCTCACAGTGGTGAGGTGCTTCATGTATCTCACAGTTGTGAGGTGCTTCATGTATCTCACAGTTGTGAGGTGCTTCATGTATCTCACAGTTGTGAGGTGCTTCATGTATCTCACAGTGGTGAGGTGCTTCATGTATCTCTCAGTGGTGAGGTGCTTCATGTATCTCACAGTTGTGAGGTGCTTCATGTATCTCACAGTTGTGAGGTGCTTCATGTATCTCACAGTTGTGAGGTGCTCCACGTATCTCTCAGTTGTGAGGTGCTTCATGTATCTCACAGTTGTGAGGTGCTTCATGTATCTCACAGTTGTGAGGTGCTTCATGTATCTCACAGTTGTGAGGTGCTTCACGTATCTCTCAGTTGTGAGGTGCTTCACGTATCTCACAGTGGTGAGGTGCTTCATGTATCTCACAGTTGTGAGATGCTTCATGTATCTCACAGTTGTGAGGTGCTTCATGTATTTCACAGTTGTGAGGTGCTTCATGTATTTCACAGTTGTGAGGTGCTTCATGTACCTCACAGTTGTGAGGTGCTTCATGTATCTCTCAGTTGTGAGGTGCTTCATGTATCTCATAGTTGTGAGGTGCTTCATGTATCTCACAGTTATGAGGTGCTTCATGTATATCACAGTTGTGAGGTGCTTCATGTATCT